CTCTCTCTCTCTCTCTCTCTCTCTCTCTCTCTCCCCCCTTTCCCTCTCCCTCTCCCTCTTTCTCCCTCCCTCCCTCCCACTCTTTCTCTCTCTCTCTCTCTTTGTGTGTGTGTGTGTGTGCATGTATGTATGTATGTGGTGAGGGAAGACAATATGGTGGGTAGATGGTGAATTACATTATGGTTTTAATCAGTGTTCCTTTGATAATTAATGTGTTTATTATCTTTGACACTTTTTCCAAAGACAGATGCTCAGTTCCCATTACTGAGGTACTACACTGACATGCCTATGGATAGGACCCAGGAATCTGGATTTTTTAAAAGTTGTACCAACTGTTATCTTCAGAGTCCCTGAGCATAAATGTTGTTTTAGTTAGAATGGGTATGCTAGCCAACTAGTATGGTAGCTAAAAAATCCAACAGAAAAATTTTAGATTTTTAATCTATTATGGAAAATAGCAGGATGTCTTGTTCTTCCCCCCTCCCCTCTCTTCTTGCTCTCTCTTTATCTTTGTTTCTTCCTTTTTTCCCTTCCCTTCTTCCTTTTTTCCTCCACCTCCTCCTCATTTCAACCTGTATTGGAGAAATACTAAACATATAGGAAAAGCCTCTGAAATTACTCGTTGTGATGTGGACTTTAGAGCCATAGTTTTTTTTTTTTTTTTTAATTGAAAATAATCATGTACATGAGGCTTCTTCGAAAAGATCATGGGAAATACAAGTTATGAAAATGGATTTCAACCAATAGTACTAGAGCAAAAAAAAATACTAAAAGGGATAAAGTATTACATTGTACATCAACAGTCAGGACAAGGGCTGACCAACTCACTGTTTCTCATAGTGTCTATTTCACTTGAAAAGTGATCCCTGTTAAATATAAGAGTGGGAATAAGAGAGGGAGGAGATGTACAATTTGGGACATGCTCAATCAGACTTGCCCCAAATGGTGGAGTTAGAAACGTGCCAGGGGATTCCAATACAATCCCATCAAGGTGGCATGTACCAATGCCATCTCACTAGTCCCAGTGATCACTTTCAGTTCACAATTGATCACACTGATAGGTCTAAGAGTCAAAGGGATCACACAAACAAGACTAGTGTCGGCAAATACTAACTGATAGAATAAAAACAGAGAGACCGATCCAACATGGGAAGCGGGATACACAGCAGACTCATAGAATGGCAGATGTCCTAAATAGCACTCTGGCCTCAGAATCAGCGCTTAAGGCAGTCAGATCTGGCTAAAGAGCCCATGAGAGTATTTCAGGCATGGAAAGCCAAGACACTCTGGCAAAAAAAAAAAAAAAATAAAAAAATAAAAAAAAAAAAAATAAAAAAAAAAACAAAACCAACCAACCTAAATGAAAGATCTCTGCGAGTGAGATCCCAGTGGTAAGAACAGGGCCATCAAAGAAGGAGGTACCTCTCTCCGAAGGGAGGAGAGAACTTCCACTTTGACTATGACCCTGTTGGAATAAGATCAAAATCGGTGAACTCAAAAGGCTTCCATAGCCTTGGCAACTCATGACTAGAGCCTAGGGAGATTACTGATGCCATAAACAAGAGTGTCAATTTGTTAAGTCAGCAACAGGAGTCACTGTGTACTTACTTCTCATGTGGGATCTGTCCTTATGTGTTGTCCAATGTGAAGTAATGCTATAACTAGTACTGAAAAAGTATTTTACACTTTGTGTTTCTGTGTGGGTACAAACTGATGAAATCTTTACTTAATATATACTAAATCGATCTTCTGTATATAAAAATAATTGAAAATGAATCTTGATGTGAATGGAATGGGAGAGGGAGCAGGAGATGGGAGGGGTGCGAGTGGAAGGGAAGTTATGGGGGGGATAGCCATTGTAATCCATAAGCTGTACTTTGGAAATTTATATTTACTAAATAAAAGTTAAAAAAAAAGAAAATGGATTTCAACCATTTTTTTTTTTTTTTGCTTCAAAATAAGCATGCTTTCAGTTCGTTTTTCCATAGAATTTTTCAAGTAGCCTGTATTTGTGGGGGTACAGTGTCAGGGGAGTGTGAATAGTAAAAGGGGAATGCTCTTCCATGGGTAGAAAATTTCAGTTACACATAAGTGCGGCCAGCATTGTGGGTCAAGCCACAGCCTACAGTTCTGGCATCCCACATGATGTCTAGGCTACTTGGTGGCTTCTTCTTCTTTCTCCTCCTCCTTTTCTTCCTCTTTCTCTTCTCTCTCCTTCTCTTCTCCCTTCTCTGCTCCTTCCTCTCCTCCTCTTTCTTCTTCAAGATTTATTGGCTTTATCTGAAAGAGCTAGAGAGAGGCAGAAGCAGAGAGGTAGAGAGGACTTCTACCCGCTGGTTCTCTCCCCAAATGGCTGCAATGGCTGGAGTTGAGCCGATTCAAAGCCAGGAGCCAGGAACCTCCTGCAGATCTCCCACACTTGAGTGCAGGGGCCCAAGGACTTGGGCCATCTTCCACTGCCTTCCCAGACCACAGCAGAGAGCTGGATCGGAAGTAGAGCCGCTGGCACTTGAACCGGTGCTTACCTGGGATGCCGGCACTGCAGACGGCAGCCCTACCTTCTACACCATAGCACCGCTTCTGCTCTGCTTCTAATCCAGTTCCCTGCTAGCATACCTGAGAAAGCAGCAGATGATGACTCAAGTTCTTGGGTCCCTGCCACCCATATGGGAAACCCCAACAGAGTTCCAGGCTTCTGCCTTTGGACTGGTCCAACCCTGGCTATTGTCATCATGTGGGGAGAGAACAAGTGGATGGAAGATATCTCTCTCTTTCTATCTCTGCCTTTCAAATAAACAAATCTTTTAAAATAAACAAGAAGAATAATTTCTGGTGATATATTTCACAGCACGTAACTGGGAACTTTTGATGTGTCACATGTAGAGAGACAACAAACTGTGGCTCTTTGACATTTTGCTTGTCTTACAAGATGAAATTTTGGTTGACCTTGCTGTGGACTGTCTTTCAAGAATGTTTGTAAGCTGAACATGCTTTGATGATAGAGGTAGTGTCTTCCACTGGAGCAAAGGATAGATTTATTTACCAACCACTGTAATAATGGTATTTCTCCCTGGGGAAAAGACAAAGCAGGCTTACCATCCATTAGAAAATATTTAGGTTCCCTATTCTTGGGTTTCTTGTACAATGAAACCCAGTGTATTTACAGACGTTCTTATCTCTCATTATGTTAATTTATGGGAGTTGGGTTTCAGGAAACTTGAAAAATGTTGACTCTTTGGCTACTGCTCATACTGTCAGTTATAAAGTTTTTCAACCCTGATCAAAGGGACTAGCTAGCACCATTCAACTTACGGTTTGTTCTCTTCTTAGTATACAAGTGAATTAAAATCCCTGAGAGCTTCTAGTTTTTTTGTTTGTTTGTTTGTTTTTTTTTTTGTTTGTTTTTAAGCATTGTATACTTCCCTGAATTTCATCTATTCAGTGATTATATTAGACACTGAGTAAAATATTAGTCGAGTGAGCTAACTTTGATGAAGCATTATAGACAAGATAACAAAAGTATCTTTTAAGTTTACTTGTAGAATAAATGTGTATAAAGAAGTATATTAAAGAAATTGATCTAGAACATCATAAGAAGAAAAAAAATATTTCATTAACACCTTCTAATGCTTGAAACTCTACCTGATTTATGTAATTTTAAACATTCTCTTGTACACAGTAAGTTCGTGAATGCTTTAGAGATAATGTACTTATAAGTATGATTTTAGACTAAATATTATGAATGGAACTTCCACATTATGGTGGCAAGGTTTAATGACGTGTAATTACAGGTCCTGAGATGTTTGTGTGAGGATAAAAAGCTTACTGTGCTCTAAGAAAATGTTTTATGTGGGATGATAACTGACGCAACCCATTAGGAAATTTGAATAAACCTAATTGTTTAAGAACAATAATTGAAAACAATTCTTTAGATGTCAAAATGTTGCAGTTTATCATATGACTCTGTCAGTTGTTATTTAATAATTCCTGGACATGCTTTTTGGGTGGCTCATTAGTTATGTCACCAGAAAAGCAGTATTTTTAATACTGTAAGAGATGAAACTTATATTCTCAGTGTGTTGAAATATAAATTGTGCAAGAACATTGGAATTAGAACTGTAATATTAAAAGCAAGACCTGTGTGCTTGACTAATTAAAAGATGAAGTTGAAAACAGACAAGAGTAGTGATTATCAGTTGCTAATATTTTCTTGAAGTCTATTTATATTTTTGGAAGCTTCCTTAACTACTATTGCATTTGTCATTCATTTGAAGATATATAGATAATAACGATTCTACTTTATGGAGCTTGTTGTTCCTTACAACTTAGTCAAAGGGTAATAAATGGGCAAAAAAAAAAAATGACCCTGGGGTTCGATTAGTGCAAATAAATATGTTTCTGTGTGGTTGCTAGAAGTGACTTGCATATTCATAGGATTATCTCCAAATAAACTATTGATTTAAGTAATTCAAACATATTAAGAACAAAAACTCAGTTTAGTGAACAATTTCAGTTCTAGAACATGAATATTGATGTTCAATGCTTGTTTGGAATAGATGACTGCCTGTCTCTCAAAGCATCATCTATAAATAGTAGGTCTGCAATCTGACTTTTAGTAAAGGTTATATAGCAGATACCCCAGGATTGCATTTTTCTGGGAAGAACATGGCATCCGGAGATCCTGTATAGTCTATAAAAGGGTTATCTTTATGCTTTCATAATCAGATGAGAAGGGTTGATTTAAAGTGTTCCTAAAATACTGCAGAGAGCTAATGAAGTTATTTGACTGCACAGATAGTGTTTCCCTTCCTTGTGGAGGAGGTTTAAGGTACAGGTATAGACAGAATCACATGTAAAGTGTTATGATAGCATAGTGAAATGATAGCTCCTAAAATATTCTACTACAGCATTTATTTGAAGTGTAATCTGAGATTTCCACTGTACTAAGTTACAAGGGTTACAAGGCTGCTTTTTTTTAGTATCTGATTCATTTGGATGGAGGACTGAGTGTGAATACTCTACATGGTTATGGGCTTCTATTTTCCCACTTTATATTGAATGGATATGAAGACTTTAAAATAAGATTTTCTGTCTGCACAGAGGTAATTTTCCTGTTTTTCCTTTTGGGTGTTTTTGATTTTGCTTTATGACTGCCACTTGAAAACTGATAGATTTATTTCTAAGGCATCCTCTTTGATCTGCAAAGAAAAATTTCTTACTGCCTCAGGAGCTTAGTTGCCTTCGTCTTTTTAAACTTAAATCCTTTTTTATTCTCTATCATCAGATCACCCTCAAAGTCCTGCACTGGACTCTGAGCTCGTTTTATTGCTGTTTGGATTAGAAACAGCCTTTAAGAACCTCCTGCTGCAAACTTCCATGTGAGCTCAGACTTCTTTTCACTTGGCTCCTGTAGTAAAGAAAAATTTGGAGAATCTCTTTGTTTCCCTTCCAAATTCTGTTCCAAGGTCTTATGAATATTAACACTTAGCTTTTTTTTTGTTTTTTGTTTTTTGTTTTTTTTTAGGATCCGTTGCTACTACTTAGAAGCCTAATAAATCCCAGAGATGCAAATAATGATCACTTAATGAGTAAGTACATTTAATTACAATCAATTAGAAGAAGATAAATGACAATAAATCCATTTGGTATTCTTTCAAATATATCCTGAGGTTTTGACATGTTTATTTATATTCCTCCTGAATTTCTATCACTTTAGACCACTTTTATATGAAGGGAAGAACCAAATGGATTTTTTCTTTTTCTCCCCACATAAGTGTGTGTTTTCATAGACAGTGAGGATGACAGTTCAGCCAAATCAATTCTTACTGAAACTGACCAGATACCCAATAAAAACACAGTGAAAACAATTTCTAGCAAAAATAATGTAGCTTATGTATTGGACCTCGAGATTTTCCACTGCATTATTGGAATCTGCAATTTCTTGGGTGTGTTGAGAACATTAATGATTTAGCAGATAGAGGCAATAGAAGTCAGTGTTTGAATTCTTTCCTATTCCATCTTTAGAAGCCATTCTTCTACACTGATAGTTTTTGCATGAGAAAAGCAGATATTGTATTTGCCTCCCTCCCCTTTTATTCATGCCCTATAAAGAGAAGTGTGGTTCTGGGTTTAGTTTATTTCCAGGGCACTCATTATGCCACAATTTTTCTAAAAAGGATCTCAATCTTAGAGTTATACATAAGCATTTATGATAAAATTATTCTCTCTTCCACTGACTCATGCTTAATATCATATTAACATGGCAGTTTCCAAAAGTAGGGTTTAGGCACTGCAGGCCAAAGCACAGTAATCTTTTATGCTGCTAATACTGATGTAAAGGATATTTCTATATAGTCAATCAAACTCTAGAGTTTTAAAATAAGAGAATGAATCAAATATTTCTCTGATAATGTTTCTCTGCTTTGTTCTAGTTACTTTATGAAAGTGTCTCCATTGGGGATTTTGGAGAGAAGAGGGATGACGTTGTCAAGGAAGAGCTCCAATATTCCTGTGTCCATGACTTAGTAACCTCTTGATAGCATGCCTTAATAGTATCCTATCACAGTGTGATTTATTAAACAGTAGTATGAGCTTATAATTCTTTATAACTGGATTGAAAGTGGTTATTAATAGATATGATCACTTAGGATTGGTTGATGTTATTGGTCACATTTTCTAAATTATAATGATGGATTTTGTTCAGGCTATTGCAATAAGGAGAACATCCAGATCCAAAAATCACTGACTTAGCAGGATGGTTTTGCCTTTGATTGTTTTTTAAAAATTTATGTATTTTCTTTGAAAGGCAGAAAGAGAGAGAGAGAGAGAGGGAGAAAAAGAGATGGATCTTGCATCTGCTGGTTCAATCCCAAATGGCTGCAATAGCTGGGGCTGGTCAGGCCGAAGCCAGGAGCCAGGAGCTTCTTCAGCTCTCCTCGTGGATACCCAGGCCCAAGCATTTAGGCCATCTTCCACTGCTTTCCCAGGTGCATCAGCAGGGAACTGCATTGCAAGTGGAACAGCTGGGACTCAAACCAGTGCCTGTACGGGATGCTGGCACTGCAGGCAGAGGTTTAGCCTTTTATGCCACAGCAGTGGCCTCTTTGCCTTAGATTTTTATATGGAAGGATAAACAAATGGCAGGTGGGGTGATTTATATTTTGGGTTATTTTCATCGAAGAGGCAGCCAATTATCTGAATAGAAAGTGTTTTTCTCTGTGCTTAGCTAGTTTCAAGGGGACAAATGTTTCTAAACTTATTCAATGATAGTTCTTTCTTACGTTTAACATAAATGAAATGATTTATTTTTTAGAAATTTTTACTAAAAAGAGAGGACAGATGTCATGTATTTCATAAAGTTCTGAGAAGAAAACTATGCTTCCTTCCCTCCCACTTTCCTCCTTCAATCTCCAGCCTTCTTTTCTTTTCTTTTTTCCTTTTTTTATTTTTTAACTTTTATTTAATGAATATAAATTTCCAAAGTACAGAATATTGATTACAATGGCTTCCCCCCCGTAACGTCCCTCCAACCCGCAACCCTCCCCTTTCCCACTCCCTCTCCCCTTCCATTCACATCAAGATTCATTTTCGATTCTCTTTATATACAGAAGATCAGTTTAGCATACATTAAGTAAAGATTTCAACAGTTTGCTCCCACACAGAAACATAAAGTGAAAAATACTGTTTGAGTACTAGGTATAGCATTAAATCTCAATGTACAGCACACTAAGGACAAAGATCCTACATGAGGAGTAAGTGCACAGTGACTCCTGTTGTTGACTTCACAAATTGACACTCTTGTTTATGGCATCAGTAATCACCCTAGGCTCTTGTCATGAGCTGCCAAGGCTATGGAAGCCCCCTGAGTTCACTGACTCTGGTCATTTTTAGACAAGACCATGGTCAAAGTGGAAGTTCTCTCAATTGGTTAGTGCACGGTACTTATAAGACAGCCTTCTTTTCTTTCTTTATTTTTTGCAAAGACATACTTTCAGTGCACTCTATATTCACAGATTTAAATCACCACCAATGTAATATTTAACAAATCAAAAATATAAAGACTACAGTTCCGTGGGAGCATAAACAATGGTTAAAACCAATAATCCTAGTGCAGATTTAACCTTAGCTAATCTATCATGAGAAAAAGTATAAGAAGTTGGGTGTATCACACCTTATTAGTAAGTTCAAGCAAAAGGAGTAATGATTGTGTTTGATCTTTTTTTCCTCTTGTTGTTCAAGATAGCTCTTGTTATCTTAAAACAATCTTAGGTATTAGAATGACTTCAGTGAGGTTTTGAGTTAGAGTTTGGTATTATAGTCCATTGAGCCAGTGGTTTCTTGTTGGCTTTATTCTTGCAGAACCAAATGTGAAAGTAAGGCAAAGGTAAGTCAATTCCCTCTTGTTCCTTCTTTCTTGGTGAACTGACTTTGCTCAACTCCTGTGGTTTCATGAGTATAAATACTATTCACCATACTCTGTATGTTTTCAGGATGGTTAGACATTATTTTCCTGCAAAAAGCTACTGTTAACCATGGTAGCCAAGGTTTTGCAAAAATATTTGTCCTCACTTAAGAAAATCTCTTTGCTCTCATTTTATTAATAAAGAAATTTCCTTTATTGGTAAAATCATTCAGGATATTCAAAGAAAAACAGAATTGGTCAATAGTGCTCTTAAACTCATAGTAGCAAATTTCCTGAGTACCCTGACCTACCCTTAGACCTAATGATCTTTTGATGTCCTCACCTTATAGTCAGTTTCAACCATCCTATCAGGAGCCTGCAGGCCAGTAAGTGTGGATCCCTAATGCATCCTAGACATTAGGAGACTCTAGTCTGATACAATCTGATATCACTTAATATTGCCGACTTATTATTAAATGAACTCCTATTTGTTGACAACTGAGAATTGCCTTCCCATACATAGCACACCAACATTTTTTTTTTTGACAGGCAGAGTTAGACAGTGAGAGAGAGAGAGAGACAGAGAGAAAGGTCTTCTTCTCGTTGGTTCACTCCACAAATGGCTATTACAGCCGGCGCGCTGTGCTGATTCAAAGCCAGGAGCCAGGTGCTTCCTCCTGGTCTCCCATGTGGGTGCAGGGCCCAAGCACTTGGGCCATCCTCCACTGCCTTGCCGGGACACAGCAGAGAGCTGAACTGGAAGAAGAGCAACTGGGACAGAACCCGTGCCCCAACTGGGACTAGAACCTGGAGTGCCGGCGCCGCAGGCGGAGGATTAACCTAGTGAGCTACTGCGCTGGCCCCAACCTTAATTTTATCTTTAAGTCAGAGACCTAACATGCTGGAAGATACCACTGAAAGACTAGTTTGGAGCCTAGGTGAAAAAATGAATTGTATAGTCCTCCTAACCATCAATACCAAGGCGAGACCAAAAAAAAATTAAAAATTCAAGCTTTATTACAAATGGAATTGCTACCAACAGAATACCTTATGTTGCAGTTGCTCAGCGGCCATCTTGATATGACCTTTTCACCTCATTCCACCACAACCTTATACTGGAGAGCTTTCCAGAGTGCCCAGAAAAAGATAACAAGAAGTTTGCTTTCTCAAGAGCTTATGATCAACCAGATAACGTAACAAAGTGTTCAGCTTACATTCAAGAACTGAGACAAACTCCCTCAGGACCTTTCTATTTAATTCTATCTGTATTTATTCTTTTGTCTCCTTATCCCCATTTATTTTTCTAATTAAAATAGGATTCATCTTTAAACATACCCCCTTTAAAGTATAAAATTCAGTGACTTTTAGTAATGCAACCATCAAAGGAGTCTAATTCAAAAATATTTCATCACTTTAAAAATAAACCCCATTCCCATTTTTGTCACTCCCTATTCCTCTCATTCCAACCCCAGCCTCTAGTGACTATTGATACATTATCTATCTCTAGAGATTTGCCTAATCTGGATATTTCATGCAAATTAGATTTTACAATATGTGGCCTTTTGTGTCTAGCTTCTTTTACTTAGCACCATGGAGCATAAATCAGCACTTCACCCCTTTATTATGGATATAAAGTATTTCATCATATAGGTATAACACATTATGTTTATAATACATTTATATTTGTCAATGATAGATATTTGGTTGCATGAAAATTTGTTCAGAAGTTTCTGTGCGAGGACAGCTTTTTAATTTTCTTGGGTATATCTATCTATCTAGCAGTGATATTGATGGGTTATATGGTAATTAACTGTTAAATTTTATATTTAACTGATCTGCCAATATTTTTTTTCTGGAAAATGGGACCTTGAGGTCATCTATTTAACATGAGCACTGAAATGTCCCACCAATATTTATAGATATTTAAGATGTTCTTTGTTGTGGGCTTTGCCAAGACTGTTGAGCTAAATTTTGGGTGAAGAACCAAAGACAGAGAAGTGAGCATTTTGGTATCTGCAAAGCCAGTTTGAATCTGTAACACCTCCCGCCCAATTCCTATTGGATTTTTCATCTCAGATGATAGTAGTTGGTATCCACTACATTCTTTAAGTAGAGTTTCTCTATCTAAAGGTGGTTGGGTAAGGGAAACTGTGCAGTAAAGAAAACATTTTCTTTTTTAAATTTTTTAAATTTTTTTATTTGACAGGTAGAATTATAGACAATGAGAGAGTGAGACAGAGAAAGTCCTCCTTCCATTGGTTCACTCTCCAAATGGCTGCCATGGCCGGTGCTGCACCGATCTGAAGCCAGGAGCCAAATGCTTCTTCCTGGTCTTCCATGCGGGTGCAGGGTCCCAAGCACTTGGGCCATCCTCTACTGCCCTCCAGGGCCACAGCAGAGAGCTGGACTGGAAGAGGAGCAACCAGGACTAGAAACCAGTGCCCACATGGGATGCTGGCACCGCAGGCAGAGGATTAACCAAGTGAGCCATGGCGATGGCCCCAAGAAAGCATTTTTTTCAATAAGTGTCCTTCTTAGCACATTTGTTTGCCAAAGGTTTTATTTAGCACCAAGAGTCTGACTCCTACTTTGAGTTTCAGTTTAAGGATAGATAATCCCTTGGCTGGTAGTAGTAAAGCTTCTAGTAGGTTAGTGACTAGAGTTCCATTTTTGATGGGTATGCTTGCAGTTTTCACATGCCCTCTTTGTTTCCTTAGGTTCCCAAAATCAAGTACAATTTAAAAATGTAGATCTGCTATCTGTGTGTTAACTGTTTTATCTTGTGCTAGTATACCATTTTAGTGACGTCTGAGCTCAGCTGCTTTGCTGATAAATACCCAGGTAGACTTTTGAACTCAATGGATTGAAAATCTGAGATAGTATATCTTCCTTGAAATATCACATTTGCATTCCTGATGTAAGAACTGTGTCTGTGTACAAAGAATGTGACACCTGAATATGTGGGAGAAGTGTTCATGATGTTTTGTTGAGGAAGAATTGTTGACTTTGTAATGGTGATGCAGCAATGAGTTTGTTCCCCAAATAGAAGGGGAAGAACAGCAAATTATGCTATGTTAGACCGCATTGGTTAGTAACATGAGAAGGAAGAGATAATAGCATTTCATAGGAAATGATTGTGAAAAATACTACTTATAGTCAATAACTAGTAGGGTATGTATGGGGTATATAAATAAATTGAAGGAATTACTCAGAATTAAGTTGACAGTAATCTTGATCAATCTGACATTGGCAGCAATTAAAGAAAAAAAGAAAATTCATGAGTCATGGGGTCTAAAGTAAGGCTAACATATCCACTAAGACTTTGATTTCTGTTCTGTTTTTGAATGAGGATGAATAAAACATGTCCTTTGCCTTTGTGCATAAAATGAAAAAAAAAGGTAATGAGTAATTAAGAGTCCAGGAGTCAGAGATGAGGATAGGATTTGAAGTTTTGAAATGCAGATATTGGAGGAGAATCCCAGTTAGGGATTTGGAGATATATTCCTTAATCATGGCATAGAAAAGGAGGCCATAATGGAAACATAGGGATGCAGTTGTAGAAATAGCCAATTAATCCTGTCAATCCATAGAACTGTCTTTTGTTCGCAGGGATAGAGAACTTTATGATGGTATTTATGTATTTAGTGAATGGGTTATTCACTTTAGGGGAGACATTATGTTCTAGATAATGCACTCTAGGGCTACATAATTGCATTTGTCTTAGAAGAACATATATTCTTCAGGGGCAAGTAGCAAAATTGGATATGGACAAGTGAGTTGTCAAAATCAGGAATGGCAGAAAAGAATCATCTACATCTGGATCAGAGTTTCACGCTAAGCTAAATCTCTGAGGTTTTCATTTAGGGTTTGAGGGAAGTAAGTAGGGGGGCACAGTAGCCCCAGAAGCATTAACAAATACTA